TTATTTACGTGACACTGGCCGGCCCATGTTCGACATACAACAACAAAATAAAACAGACGTCCGAATGAAATGGTAGGGCAAAATTAGATTGTATGTCGCACCAAAGAGCTACGGAACCGCAGCTAACCTTCCATTATTTCTGAAATTGTGCTGCAGTACGATCAACTTTCCGTTTCTTGGTGCTGTCAGGGTTAGGACACCCATATGTTTCTGGTTCTGAACACGATTTAGCGGTTTCTCCATCTCGTCGTGAAAAATATTCGTCGAGCAGTTGTCTGCTTCTTTTTGACGTACTCTCCATTTTCAATAAACAAATCACGTGTTTGATAAGGGCGACATGAAACCGTTCCATACTGAGAGTAATGTCGCGGGGTATCTTGAAACACATGTCGACTAAACTACGCATGTGCGATGACACCAAAATAACTTTAGAGTGGAAAAATACATTCAGTGACAGTTCCGTGTTGATCGCGATCACCATGTAACAATTGTTGCAATCTTAGAAGTAACGGGACATTGTTTAACTTTAAAATGACAATCACTCAAACCGTAACACGCGTGATGATCACAGTCGAGTCTGACAATTAAATGAGGGCGATTTGCGAGGGTATTTTGTACAAAATGTGTTCGTAAATCCTACTAATAGATATTTATTTTGTTCGTAAATCTCGTCCAAATTTCGTAATTTACGACATTTGCGAGCGACAGCGAGAGCACAGATAATTTCATTGGTGATTGGAAGGTATCGAAGAGTCGCTGACAGTAGTTAGTTTGTCACTCCCAGGTCATAACTAGTACTTGTGATTTTCGTTAGAACACATTGTACTGTGGGGAAATCAATGTTTATCAATACAAGTGTCTCACATTGTTCATGATCAGTCAGTAAACTATTTTATGATTTTTTTTTTTTTATAGGTCAGGATATCCAACCCAAGAGGGATTTGACAAGATTTGTAAAATGGCCGAAATATGTACGTCTCCAGCGTCAAAGGGCAGTTTTATACCAACGATTGAAGGTACCACCAGCAATCAATCAGTTTACACAGACTCTGGATAGGCAAACGGGTAAATGATTTTTTCTGTCTACGTGTGATCTATGTGCTATGTACAACATTGGAATCTATTGCATTGTTTCATTGTTATGACGCCCATTCATTCCAAGAAGGATTTCACTATTAAATCTGTTGTAATATAGTGAAACCATCTTCCCATACTAATCCACTTTTTTAACTTGTTTCATTGCCCACCCTTTGCAATGACGATACTGAATTTTATTACCTGAAAAGCTATGTTGAGATAAATCGAGCTTTTTAAAACTGAGCAATTTGGGCTACATAGAAACAAGTTACTAACAGATTGTCAAATTCAGCTGAATGTAGGTTTGCAGGTTAAATAGTGTATCATAAATGAGTTTGGTGAAAAAACAAAACAAAAACAAAGTTGGTTTTTATATATGTATATCACAAAACTATAAATGGTTCATACCAAATAAGAAAGCACTTGGGGTAATCAAAATCTTCGGTAATAACACATTGAAAATGTAAAGAATTTACAATATTATAGTTATCCAATTAATTTAGATGTCAAAATATTTTTCAGCAACCCAGCTTTTTAAGTTAATGAACAAGTATCGACCAGAATCTAAACAAGAAAAGAATGCCCGTGCAAGGAAGAAGGCCGAGCAGAGAGTCAAGGGTAAAGAAGATGCTCCTACCAAAAGACCACCAGTTGTGAGGTCTGGTATCAACACAGTGACTTGTCTTGTGGAATCTAAAAAAGCACAATTGGTGGTGATAGCCCATGATGTTGATCCACTTGAGGTAACGTTACATTGGTACTTAACTAATGCACAAGTTCAGAGATTTTTTTTAACCAATGGGCGCAGCGCCCTCATACCATGGCCATGCAGATCCACGGGCAATCATAAAATTTTTATTGATGAGAGATAACATGTGATCAGTCTTGAACTGCGACCTGTCTGATAGTAATGGCAGGGAGAACCCTATCTTTCTCACTTGGTGGCGCCGCTGAATTGCAGTGCTCCCTCTTGCAGTTTTTTTTAGAAAACCCCCTGCAAGTTTAATATAAAAATCAAGATTGAATATACATCTATTTTAGATATAACGTTGTCAAAAACACTACAGTACATCTATAGGTCACTGCACTTGTTTACATTCTACATGTGTGTACGTATATGTGCAGGGACAGAAATCAGCTTCTGTTAAATGTACATATACATATACATGTCCTTCCTACGAATAAAACAACTTATGCACAATGTTACAGCAGATTGTGAGCTAGTGTTGATCAGTGAGAAACATTTGCTACCTTTGCATGCTTGTTGGCAAAAATGTAAACAATTACTTCAGTATGACTGCCTATAAGATGGAGCACTACTTTTGCCAATAGACATGCTTAGCATTTACGTAACTGCTTATACAGATGACAGGCATGTCTAGGTTCAAAATAAGTTGTATTTGAATGATCCAGTATACAGTTATTGTAATTGTTCATTGACATGTGATTCTACTAGGAATGTGCTTTTAATAGAGCAAATACGAATATGGGAATGAACCTAATGCTGCAAAATAAGAAATGGAGTGAAATTTGGTGTCTGAATGAATACTGCATTTTATGACCTTCATGTTTTGATGAAGATCTGTTATTGTTGATCGGCATTTGATGTATGTCTGGAGATCGCTTGATAGGTTTTATTTTGCCCTTTTGCAATGATGTTTTACTTGATTGAATTTCTTCTACTGAAAAGCCATGTGGAAATCATTTATGAATTCTGAGCATTTGGGCAGAACTATTGTGTGTGAACTTCAGAAGACAAATGAATGCCTCAGTTTCCCATGCTGTGTTAACATTTGTACATGTGTAAAATACTGCATGATGGGCAATTTCTCCAGTAAAATGTTTGATGTAGATGCAGGTGTGTTAATGTACTGCAGCTAGCATGTTATTTTAGCTTATTTAGCTAATTATTTCTGTAATTTCGTTAATTCAAGATGTAACTAATTTAACAAAGTATATTCTCCCAGGAAGATAGTTGACACTTTAGCTAAATTAAGATTCTGTTAATTCATGTCAAGAGTTAAATCCGCTAAAATTGCATGCAGCTATTTCAATGTGTTCTACAGTATACTAATCTTGTTTATTTGTTTTGCCTCATCACCCACAGATTGTCATCTGGTTACCAGCTCTGTGTCGTAAAATGGGAGTGCCATATTGTATTATCAAGGGCAAAGCAAGACTTGGCAAAGTTGTTCGTAGGAAAACCTGTACATGTCTTGCCTTTTCACAAATAAATCCAGAAGACAAACCCAATCTTAATAAACTGATTGAGGCCGTTAAGACCAACTACAATGACAGGTTTGAAGAGGTGGGTAACATGTATATTATTGATCAAATAAGGGTGTTTGTACATTAGCACAGCAAGAGATAATTTGTTTGATGTTCTTACCACACAACAGTACAAATGTCGTGTTGAGTTTATTATAGTGTATTCTCTCGCCGTTTTGAACTATTTGATACAAGTGGCAACCTCGTTCACTGCATAGCAACAATCTTTGCAAGATTCAATGTACCACAAAAAACTGTTTTGCAATAGTTCTAGCAACTGAGCAGTCTCATTGAGTGTTAGAGTTACAAGACTTGTATTTTTGCCCCCTCAATTAGCGTTTTATTCTCTTGGCATCGGGTCTACTGTTCCCATGGACACCAGTGACTACAGCTAGACAGGAAAATCAATTCTCTGTTCGATAATTTACATTTAGATTTTAGTGTCATAAAGTTTACTCAAAGTAAACAATACTAAATTTTTGAGACATTCTTCTTTGCACAAGTCAGTTTGACCTGTTGCATGTACTATGTTACTGATTAGCTCAACACTGTTACTTATACCAACTGAATATTGACCAATAACTTTTGAGTCCAAAATAAGAAATTACATTATAATGTATTTTCTCAGATATACAGATGATTTTTACTGCTTATGAAAGGTTCTAAATCTTGTTATGTTTTTGTTCTTACAGATTCGTAAACACTGGGGTGGTGGTATTATGGGAGCTAAATCTCAAGCAAAGGTAGCTAAGCTTGAAAAAGCTAAAGCCAAAGAATTGGCCACCAAAATGGGATAAGAACAGACTTTGTCGCAATTGTGTATTGTAAGAACAGTGTAATTATTGGTACACAAATAAAAAAATATTCTGAACAGGTGGAGTTGTATGGTAAAATTTTGTTGTATAGAAAACTGCACTGCTATGAGTATCTTGTAAATACCATTTATCGTCAGTTACCAAGTGTGCATTTACAGAACCAAATGCTCAAGTAACAATATGGTATTTGGAATAGTAACATGACAAGTTGTAGAAAAAAAACAGAATGAATGCATATACCGGGTTTGTATGCATGCCAAAATCGTTTCCTCCAACAAAAGGTAATTTGCATACTGATTGTGTTGCATGGGACATGGCGCAGAGGCTTTGGAAATTTTGTTTCTCTAAAATGTACGGCAAGATTGGCTCATTTTCATGAAGTGTTGCACACAAAGCTGCCTGTGCTGATGGTCGTACACATTTTTTATTTAGTCTGCCAATCCAGAACGAGGTATTAGTATACATCACATTTGGTAAAGAACTGATTTAATTTTAAAAATGTGCATTTTGGATCAAGAGGATTGTAAAGCATTGATGTGGCATCTAAATAAGGAGTGGCTTTAGATTCAATGCTGGAGTTTTAATTAACTGGCCAAGTACAAGACAGTACAGATTAAGAGCATGCACAAACCTACCCCTCAATCCCTTAAAATATGAAGATCTAACATTGTCACCAAATTTGTTTGAAGAAATTAATATCTGGGTGATATTTGTATTAAATGTCTTGCATTGATTTTCAGTTTGGGAAGCATTAAAAATGGTTACATTTGGCCTTGAAATACTGTGACAATGAAAGTAAACGTGCTGCTTGTGGCACATTTCCCTAATGAATATGCTTGTACACATTGACCTTGGAGAGGCGTGTGCCTGCCCCCAAACCTATGTAGCTTGTGCATTGTATTCTCAATATTTTCTTTGGTGTTTAATACAAGCTCAGTACTGCAGGAAACCCTGGTATACAGTACACTATGTGTAGTGCCATGTTAAACTTCAAAGATTTCTTGCATGTCGGGAAAGTGGTAGATGGGATAAACATGGCTCTAATAATGTGAGCATATTGAAGTGATGTAAAATCCCACATTCAAAGAAATCCATTTTACTACTAGACAATTTACTATTGCCTTACTACAATGTTGGCATGTCTAGCATTTGAATAAAATGCCTTTAATGTGTAAATTGTCAATCTGGAAATCCTTGTGTTGCACTTGAACAGGCCAAAGAAACATTTCCTGGTAGTTGGAAGTATGGCTACAAGAACACTAATGGTAGTTAACAGCCTTTTTTACTAGACCGGCATTTAACTACAGTTAGCCGAGCTCATTCAATAGATAACCATGCATTTCACTCGAGTCTTGTGAGAACCTCATTCTGAAAAACTGTCCTAGTAAATGAGTATTGAGAACAAAAATTACTAAACAGGTACTATTTGAAATTGAGAGTACTTTCCTAGTAAATGCTGAACAAAAACCACTAACTGCTAGAACAATAGCAACGAGTTAAAAAGTCGTTTCACTTTTGATACTGTAAAGGGGGTAATCATTCACTGGGTTTTAATTTAGCTTTTTTCGCTGACTGGAAAAATGCGCTAAATTAAAACACAGTGAATATGTAAAATTTAGCATAGAACACATTATCTAAATGATAAAACAGTGAATTTAAAACCCACTGAATATGTCTGAAATGGTAAATCAGTGAAATTTAAACCCAGTGAAAATTAGTCATTTTACAGTATCTCAGTGTGTGAATTGCATAAATCTGAATGTAACTGGGCATCAGTGGGGTGGCATATAGCAAGTGGAACACTGCACAGAAAACTAGGTTATACAACCTTGTAACACCAACACATGAAACACTCCATAGTTTATTACAATTATATCTGCAGTTGAACATCTATTTACATTTAGTTATACATATATATCTAGCAATTCAAATAAACATGAGTACTGGTCTACAAAATTTATTTCACATTTGCTGCTCTGCCTTGCATAATTGTTTATATGTAGCATTATTCATTTCCCAAAACTCCGTACAACTCATTTAGATATTTTCATAATAAAACCTAATTATTTGTTCGCAGCACTATCCATTCTCAAAAATTCTATACAACTTTTTTAGTGCTGTCATAAATGACAGAGCGGAGCTGTTCACAATAAAACTTTTTTTAAGCATTATTTTCAAAAGAAAGTTTTGCAACTTGCATACATGTAATACATTACTAATCATAGCACCATATGCACAATGTCAAATTTGTGTGGTTTCCAATATCATCAAAATGGATCCTCGTCTTGGGAGAAAAAAAAATCATCAGTACATCGTCGTCGTCATCAGACAAGTTAAATTTAGCAAGAACATACCAAGTGCTTATTTTCAGATGCAATAACAAATCTGTCCAACTGCTATAATTTTGCAGAAACTACATATAGTAGTAGGACAAATTTCACTAGAAGAAGGGTAATGACAGGTACTTGTCAGTGTCACAAAATTTAATACCCGGGGTAGTACTTTAAAATTCATTTAAATTCATAGCTTACATCGAAAGGTCGATCTTTATTGTGTTCGAAATTGACCATCATCAAATGTATACAGCATAT